TTATTCGTGAATAGTTAGTAGTTAGAAGAGATTTATTCGGATTGTTAATAGATTAGTTAATTTGTTCACTGTTAGATAAATTGTTACTCGTTGACTGTAGTGTGTATGTCAGGGATTTATTTTGTTTAACCACTACAAGTTGCTGAAAGGTAGGTTACACCACTTTTCACACTTCTTTTATAGATTATAGGGCAAGGCGCTCCTCTTTGGGTGTTTTGATTTTGGTTCACAGAGAAGGGTCAACTTCCACTACATAACAAAAGAAATCAGATTAAATCCATCACAACCCTAAGTAACGGCAAATCAGATAGCACACAAAATACATAAACAAGTAAGTACAAGATAGAAGCTGTGTAAGTACGTCAGAAATAAGGACAAAGGGTATGTTCTCTGATTAACTATATATGTCAAGTCAAATGATAATTCTTTATTATTTACAGATGGTCAGCATTAACGTATTATTTCATGTGTTTCACTTGAATCCCTTTAAACAGACACAGAAGTGCCTTGTTGTGATGCAGTGGTACTGTCCCTGTCCCTGGACCAAGAGGCATGGGTTCAAGTCACACCTGCTCCAAAGGTGTGTAATAACATCTCTGAACAGGTTGATTAGAAAAATAGATTAAATAATAATAAAAAAGACACAGATTGAAATCTTATTTATTGGAAGGTACATGCTTGTAACTCTTTATAAATGAACATAACCTTGTGTAAAGACTGGCTCCAATTTTATCCTGCGGACAACAGGATGCTACCAGGTTCAAGTGCAGAAAGCCAGTTGATTAAAGATAAAATTTAAGCCATTATTCACCAATTGTAATATTTATTTAGAGTTACACTTACATGTTTCTCTAGAAATCAAGACTAAGGTCTCAGTTTTTCACAATATATAGCAATGACTTGGATGAAGAAACCAGGAGCTGCATAAGCAAATAGTTTGGAGAAATCTGTAGATGGCAGATGTGCAGATTAACTGAGATATCAAAATTACGGCAGACTGAATTCTATGCGAAATGAAAGGTCATTTACTTTGGATTTAACAAAGATAAATTACTAAGAGTAGGAACTTTGCAGAAGCAAAAGGATTTGGGAGTTCCAGTCCTGAAATCATTAGAACCTGGTGCTCAAACTACAAGAATAAATCAGACAATAGAATGTGGCCTTTATTTCAAGGGGACTGGCATACGAAGTGGAGGAAGTTTTATTTTACTTAGAAAAAGGCTGTTCAAACCCCAGTGGAGTATCTTGGGGAGAATATACTGTATTGGCCTTGAAGTAGGTACAGCACAGATTCCCCAGACCTTAAAGGTTAAATAAGGAATACAGGATGAATAAACTACCTTGAATTTCCTTTTTCAAAAGACTGAACAATGATCTAATTGAAGTGCTTAAAATAACAACGGAATTTTAGGGCTAGTTACAAAATAACATTTCCTCTGCCATGGAAATCCAAAACAGGAAGACAAGACCTTAAAATTTGAATTGAGCCAATCTGGAGTGAAATCAAAATATGCTTTTATGAAATAAGGTGTCTGTAAATCTGGATCTAGCACCTTCAAAAGAGCTGTGTTTTTGTGTCAATTACCTTCAGGTGGAGTTGAGTTACAGATCAGCTCCATGAATAAATGGCAGAACCGAAGTTGAATAGCGTGCTTTTATGCAGTTTGTGTAACCTCTTTTGTGCAAATTTTCTGCTGCACAGAACCAACAGTGACTTAAACTTACTTGTGAAGTGTTTTCAAGTATAGAAGGATATGAAAGGCTTTATATAAATATATTTATTTCTCCTCATTTTTGCAGTGCACAAGGATAATCTGTTCTGCACTTCTCCAGAGCCATTAATGGCTTAGTGACATTTTCTCTTTTGAGTCAAAAGTTAAAATAAATCTAAGAACAGGCAAATGCCTTCTCAACCTGGAGAAGACATGTTTGACTTTTAAATTTGTAGCTTTCTATTGTTTAAATGTTCTTTCTTTGTTGAACTGGGTTTGAAATAGAACATAATAGTTAAATAATGCAAGATAAAACTCGAAAGCTAAAGTGCTGTTATCTTTCTCAATGTCCACCCTCAAAGAATTTGTGTAAGTTTATAAACTCTTTCACAAAACTATGGCCCAGAATTTGCTGAAATTTCTTCAATTCAATGGTGTAAGTTGGAAATTTAACCCTTCTGGCTAATTTCTTACCTCAACTTGCTGGCAGTGCAAGTTGTAATCGTGTAGTAAGATTAATACCACATCTGAGATTTTAGTGAAAACAGGAATAACACTATCGCCTCAGCAAACTAATTTTAAAGACTTCAATAGTTAGCAAAACTGTAATTTGGCATCTGGTGTCACATTAGCAGTGTCCCAATGCTCTGCTACTTCTCCAGAATCAGTGATTTTTGAATAATTACAACCAATGAATCCACTATCTCAACAACTAACTCTCTCAGGATTCTAGGCTGCAAGCCATCAAGGACAAGGGACCTATCTGCCTTTAGTCTTAGTAGTTTGTCAAATAATACTTCTTTCCTGATGGTGATGTTACTTTATTCCTCCCCCGTATTCTTTAATATTAATGGAATGCTCGAAGTGTTTTCCACCATAAAGCCTTATGTAAAATATCTGTTTAACTCTCTACAATTTCCTTTTCCTCTAAAACCATTTCCTCAGATTCATTTTCTAAAGGCCCTGTGTCCACTTTGACTTTTCTGTTCCATTTCAGACATTTAAAAAAGCTCTTATTGTCATATTTTATATTCCTTACTCGTTTGCCCATGTAGTTTATTCTCACTGTTTTTATTATCTTTTTAGTCCTCCTTTCCTGGATTCTGTATTTATCCTAGTCTTCAGTGCTACCACTACGCCCTCCTTCATACTCTCACTCTCCTTCACTTCCTGAGTTAGCCATAGTTGGTTTACCCCTCTCAGAATCTTTCCTCTTCACAGGGATGTATTTTTGCTGAGAGTCACGAACTACCTCCTTAAACAATGGGCGGCACGGTGGCTCAGTGGTTGGCACAACTGCTTCACCGTGTCAGGGACTCGGATTCAATTCCATTCTTGGGTGACTGCCTGTTTGCACGTTCCCAACTTCTGCATGGGTTTCTGCCACGTGCTCCAGTTTCCATCCACAGTCCACAGATGTGCAGACTGGGTGGATTGGCTATGCTAAACTGTCCATAGTTACAGGGGATGTGCAGGCTAGGTAAAAATGCAGGATTGGGTAGGAGTCTGTGTCTGGGTGGGATGCTCTTCAGAGGGATGGTACAGACTCAATGGGCCAAATGGCCTCTTTCCATACTGTAGGAATTCTATTATTATACGAGTCTAAATGTTTGCCATTGCTTGCTTACTGTCATTCCTGTTCATCTATCCACCCAGTTCATTCTTCATTCCATTTCAATTTCCTTCATTTTAGTTAAACACAGCTGTTTCTGACCCAAGTTTTTCAGTCTTGAACTGCATATTCAATTCTGTGTTACGATTACTACTTCCTAGGGGATATTTTACTCTGAGGTCATTTATTAAGCCTGCCTCATTACCTATTACCAGATTCCAGTTCTCTGGTTGGCTCAATGACACACTGCTCCAGGAAACCATCCCTAATGCACTCTATGAATACGTTGCTATAGTTACCCTTTCCATTCTGATGAACCCAATCAACATAAAGATTACAATCACCCATAATTATTGCTCTATTCTTTTTACATGATCCTATTATTTGTTAGTATCTAGCCCTTCTCACATGCTACTCTTTGGGGGTCTGTACACTACTCCTGCCAATGTCTTCTTTCCCATACTCTTTTTCACCTCCACCGAAAGGACTCTACATCATTCAAGCCGAGATCATCTCTCTCAACTATCCTCATTTGATTTCTTACTTTCAGTGCTACCCCCACCACCATTTCCATTTCTTCCGACTCTCCATAAGGTCAAATATTCCTGAATGCTCCCAGTTTTGATCTCCTTGTAACCTTTTTTTTTTATAATGGCTGAAAAATTGTATTCATTTACCTTGATTTGCACCATTCCAAGTTAATTTGCCTTTGGTCATGACACACATTCTATCAACGAGGCAATGTTCTGCCAGGAGTCCAAAAGTAAACAATAGTTTTTCATGTTATATGTGATGTTCGCAAGGTTCTTGTGGCACAGTTGTCCTTGCCTCTAAGGCTCAGGTTCAAGTCACACCTGCTCCAGTGCAGTCAAAACACATCTGAACTGATTGATTAGACTTGTGACATAAGTATCGTGATTGCTGATTGTTAGCAAATTAATGGAAGCATTTTTTGTGGGTAAGAGAGTTGGTAACTTTAAACCCCAACAACCTGATAGAAACTTAGCATCAACATGATTCCTAACCAGAACCCACACAAAAAAAATCAATTTAATAACTCAGTTCATGCAATTTAACAAAGTTTTAATTTGTAACTTGGTTACATACATAATGTGGCACCTTAAGAATAATAACATTATTATCGCTAACTAATTTCCAAGTGGTTGGAAATGTAATTTTCCCAATTAACTGGAGTCCTTAGGTAAATGATAAACTTTTCCAATGGCTAAAGTACTCCCAAATAGATGACATAAATTTAAGATGATTAGCAAAAGAACTGGAGATGACATGAGAGAATAATCTTTTAGGCAACAAATGGCAATGATGTGGTGGAGCAATTCAACAATAGCTTTCAAATAGGAATTGGAAAAGTAGTTGCAAGAAAAAAAAATTAAGGAAAATAGGCAAGTGGATAGGAGTGGGTCTAAGTTGGTTGCTCTTTCAAAAAGACAACCTCCAATCTACTGTGTCCTAGTCTTCTATGATTCTAAACGACTTGTGGACTCTACTTGTACACTCTACAAAAGAATTTGATAAAACTGACAACTTTATGTACCTTTTGATTAGATCATTAGATGTATTTGATGCACCATCCAAGCCATCAGTTTTGTCAATGTGCTCCCTGATTTGTTATTCAATGTGTTTATTAGAGACAGAAGAAAATAATTATGACTTACCAAAATCACACAACTTTAACATGTCATTGTAGCTGATTAAAAGGTTTTCTGGTTTTATGTCTAAAAAAAGAACACATTACTATTATTAGCTAACTAGGACTTAAAATAGGATCTCATCTGACTGACAGTTCTGAAAAATTTTCTTCACCAAACTGAACTAGTTAATTTTGCTTTCACAATGAAGATTATACAAAATGGAATTCACACCGGCTATCTTACCTTGCATAGATCTGAAATAATTACCTCTAGAAACCATTGCAAATTATTCTATTGGCACAGATTTTTCAGGAACTTGATATTAATCAGTAAACAAAAGAAGCATTGAAAAAGAACCAACAGATGACCTGTGGTTTACTCGTCAACAATAGGCATCCTTCTCTACCTTAATCTTTTTACATATTTAAGTGCCTAGATTATTTGGTCTTGGAATGCAAATACTTTGCATCAAAGATACAAGGTGCATGCTGCAAATTGTTATAGACAACTATTGAACGCATGTCAACTCACATCTCCTCGTAAATGGTTATTGGACAAACAACAAGACAATGGAAAGTAGATTGTTCACCTTACATCTCAGAGTCCAGAATGGAGATTAAGTAGGACAAAAGTTTAAAATAGAGCTTCTATTTGAAGTATTCACCTTAATAGAGCCCATTACATGGCTCAGCTTATATCTGATATGGAATGAGCCACACAAATCTAGTTCATTTAATTCCCAGACTGTGCTAAGTGGGTTACTATCATTGGCCTCAACGACATGGGGTCTGGGGGAAATGTAGAGTCAAAGAATCAGCCTGTAATTCCATCCCAATTATTGTCTATTGAATCCTGCTAAAACATAAAGCATTAGCTCTTTGAAAGGTGCATCAATACCCACTATGAAGTCTGCTCTGCCATTTGATGCATCATCACTGAAGTCATCTTGGCCTCAAAGGATTCCAGATGGCAGTGGAGTACAGATCATGAGCTGGAGCTCAGCCGTTCTGAACCCTTCTCTTTCCTCTTTTCTTGCTTTTTTCTCTAAGTTCTTTTTAGTCTTTTTTAAAATCTCTGTTCACCTTCTGGAAGCAGCTTAATCATGGAGGCAACGGTGAGGCGGCAGCAGCTGGGCACCCAGAGCAGGGACTTTGTTGGTCGGCCACAAGAAGGTTGGTGTGCCCAGGCAGAACTCTGGCAGTTGGGGGGAAATCATTAAAGTAGCCAAGGGCATGGAGCAGCACCAGCACAGGACTCTTGGTGGCCTAGCAGTCGGTGGCAAGATGGCTATGCAGAGACACAGGGATCAAGAGATCGACTCCAGCACGGGTGAAGAGAGGATGGCAGTTGGTAGCGAGACAGCAGCATGGAGGAGCAAGGATTGAGTGATCAAACCCAACACAGGACCGAGATCAGGCCCTCGTGGGGAAAGCCCAGCATGGAGTGACTGCAGGCTTATAGCTTAAGGAGGACTGTAATTTGGAACTTTTAACTTTATTATTTACTACTTGATGCTGACAATAACTGATGTTGAACTTTTAACTTATTTCTTTGTGGTACTGTGAGTGGTGACATTGTAAACTTTCACTGTACTCCTGTATCACTTTACTTGAATGCATATGACAATAAAACCTAATTCAAATATGACTATCATACAGAGAATGACCACAGGAGGAAGAAATATAAAAATGGAAAAAGTAGTCCAGTAATGCCTTTGTTTCATTTCAAACGAAGATTTGATTTTATTTATTATTGCCACATGTACCTAGGTACAGTGAAATGTTTTGATTTGTGCGCAGTACAGGCAGATCACACCATAAAAGTGTATAAAGGTAATAGAACAGAGCAAAGAATACAATGTCATGGCTGCAGACAAGGTGCACAAAGCAGCAAGATCAACATTAAATTCAAAATTTGAGGTGTCTATTCAGAAGTCTAATAACAGCAGGGAAGAAGCTACCTTAAAACTGTTGTTACAGTTTGATGATGCCTCTAAAATTAGTACTCAAAATGGAAATCCTCAATATATATTTTCCATTAGAAAACATGAAGATTAAATCCGTGTATGAGATGTCAAAATGAATATCTCAATGTGCACAGAATATCTTGAACTCTAATTATCAGCATATAGGATGGAAAACCCCACCCTCTATATCTCGGCTCCATGTGTAGTAATTGTTAAACCTTGAACAATTGCAAGCTCAGCTACTGTTAAATTCGTTTACAATAACATTTGATATTTTGACTTGGTTAGTACAAAAATAGCACAATGCTGAACGAAATCACACTGTCCTTAGAAAAATACACTATAATTACAAATTTAAGCAGCAAGACTCATTTTTATTTATTACAGTAGAAAATGATTACTTTTGGAGTAGTTACCTCGATGGACAATGTCATTCTTGTGGCACCAGTGAATTGCTTTGATTAGTTGATAAATGTAGTTTCGTACTTTTTCAGGTTGAACACCATTTGGCATCTCTTCAAGTAATTCAAGCATATTCTGAAAACAAAACGAACATACTCTTTCCATATCATCATGAAGAGCATTACTTCACACAGCAGTTAGACAGAAAAGTGCATTCTATTAAATTTTAAAATACTGTTGTTAGTTTCCGCCTGTATTAGAAAAGCATATACTGCAATGATTTTCTTAAAATGGGAAAATCAAATCTTAGCTTTAGAGTAGAAATTAATCCATTATTCACATCTTCACCAGAAATAAATTATTATTTAAATAGGCATATCTTTATTCTAGGGCTGATTAAGACAGTAAAATAAATAAATTCATTCTCCTGGGATCATACATTCTAAATAATTGCTAAAATCTCTACAATATATCTTCGCATTTTCTTTCTCCTCAACATCAGAATTTTTGGCACTCTGAAAACAATGATTCAAGTTGAGGCACACTTCTACACACCCGAGTTTGGCAGTGGTTTTTTTTTAAAAAAAGGCCATTTGTCACATCAGCCTTAATGACAGATTGTAAGAAAACACGAGTGGTCTCTTGCTCATCTCTGCTTTTGTACAATTTTAGCATTGTCAGCGAGGTCTACAGTAGTCCAGGCCCAAGATAGGGAATTCACTCAATAAAGCTTCCGGCCTCTCAAGATTATTTTAAGATGTTTTAAATATGCTTGGTCAAACATCGATCATCTACCTGACCATTGTGCGTGCCTTGATATCAAATTTTGATTGATAATGCTCCTCTGAGGTGCTACGAGATGTTTGTAAGTTATCAACCTTCTCTTCATCAGTGCACGTTGCAAATTTCCAACACTGATTACTGGATGGTGACCAAGACAGCAATCTTGGGTTCTTTTTCTTGTCCTATGCCTAAACTAACTCAGGAAATGTTCTTACTCCAATCAGTTCTTTGGCTAACACCTCTTAGTAAATCAAAGATGAAAATGGAACCTTTGAAGACTTCACACCTGACCATGTCATGTGATCCATTTACACACTAACCAAGTGGAGAATATTTTCTCTGTATAAATGCTGAAAGAGAAGCCACCCCTGAAATCAGGCAGAAAAGTCTCTAACTTAGAATCACTCACCTTCTCCACATATTCAAATACTAAATAAAGTTTTCCTCTTCTTCGAAAGGCCTCCTTAAGTTCAACAATATTTTCTTGTTTTAGAGTACGGAGCATTTTAAGCTCTCTTAAAGTTGTCTCCTTAACTTCTTCATTTTCTGGGGAAAAAATGCATTAATTACAAGATGCAGTAACTTATTTCTCCTTCAGATGTTGGTAAAACATGACACTTCATTAAACATATTGCAAAATAATTGTTTTCAAAGCGTTTGCCTGAAATTAAACCAACATAAAACTTTTTGCTTCCAAAATTGCATTTTTCTCCCCCCACACAGTAGAAAAGGAATTATAAGGCTTTAAATGCCATCATAAGGTCAGTATGGCAGAAATTACAAGACTTACAGAGGAGGCCAATACATCAATGATCAAGCCGACATTTCCAAAAATGCTGGGTTCTTGATTAGTGTTGAAGAAATTGACCGAACTTAGCTAATGAGTCATGCGTGATGCTCAAACATGAAGGTTCTCCAACTGTTTGTTTTTCATAACAGATCACTTCAACTCAGGTGCACAGTAACACTTTTCCAAACAACACTTGGATTAAATAGTCAGTTAACTTATTGCAGAGTTTGTTCACCTTTAAGGGTTGATAACTGGATTGATTGAGATTTGGGGGTGCTGCTAATAGTAACACAAAGCTCACCTGTTGTTCAAAGATTTATCTTACTGAATCAATTTTTCTGAAAAGGTCTAAATCCTCCCCAGCATACTGTACCATCAGAAAATTGATAAGAAGAATTTAGCAATCTTTACAAGGCAGTTAGCTTTCAGAGGTGCTTTATTTAAACCAGGAGCTGAATCCATATGAACATAGAACATAGAACCTAGAACAGTACAGCACAGTACAGGCCCTTTGGCCCACAATGTTGTGCCGAACTTTTATCCTAAACCTAAGGTCTATCTAACCTCCACCCCTACCTTATGCTATCATCCATATGCCTATCTAATAGCAACTTAAATGCCCTTAATGAGAACGACTCCACTACCCTCTCCAGCAATGCACTCCACGCCCCTACCACTCTCTGAGTAAAGAACCTACCTCTGATGTCTCCCCTCTATCTACCTCCACTCACTTTAAAACTATGCCCCCTCGTAATAGCTACCTCTACCCGAGGAAAAAGTCTCTGGCTGTCCACTCTATCTATACCTCTGAATTATCACTAAAACAGTACAAACAAGTCTAATCAGCTCTTCACTGAACTGCAGTAAAGGATTTAAGGCAAGTGGCATTAAAAACTTATCCAAGACTCAGGAAATAGGTGAAAACTCTATAATCAGATTCTGCGTGCTCCAATTGTTTCACCTAATGTGCGTTTCCACTCTGGGGATCAGAAAAAGTCATCTTAGTAGACTGGTAGTATGGCATTCTTATTCATGTTAGTGTTGTTCTACAATCTCTTGAAAAGGTGTTCCTTGGTACGGAATGCTAACATGGCATCACCAGCATGAAGCAATTTAATGAAGAATTGGTTGTCTGACAGGGCCAATATTGATGAATACTTTTCTCATGATGCTCAGTAGGGAGATTAATCAACATTATTGCAATCACCCCAACAGTCCTTGCTGTTGTACAAAGTCAAAGTTTCTGCATCACAATATGGGACTGCATCCTCCTTCCAGGAGACAGAAGAGATTTACAGAAAACAGATTTCTAGGAATGCTGGTTCCCCAAGACGGATGTGTAACTATCTCCAACTACTGTACTGTATTGTAATCTGTGATGAACTTCCTTGCATTGGTTTTCAATTGAGCCATTTTCTTTGCTCATATAGCCATTACCTTTTTGGTCTCCAAGCATTGTGTAGGAGGGTATCTGAATATTCGTGCAAAGTTGTAGCCAATTAGAACACCACTAAACGGTCTGTTGGGATTTTATTTCTAGTGGCTCGTAGTACTCTCAAGTTTCCTCGTTCAGATCTCTCTTGCAATTAATGAAAGCAAACGGCCTGGCTTCAATGACAGATTGCATCAAGTGATGTTAGCCTCAAAACATTCAAAACTTTTTTCAATCTTGCTTCCCATATTTTGTGTGTGCTAATTGAAGCTGGTGTCTGGAAGTATGTTCTATTTCAATTGAACACTTAGTGTGGGAATGCCAGAGATCACCTGCTCAATTGAGTCAAGGAGCTGCTTCATCTGGGTGGGTGATTTATATCAGGGTGTTCATTTCTGCTTTGAAGGTAAAATCTTCAATTCCACCTCTAGTGCACACCAGGGAGTGATCTTCATTAATTATCACGGTGATAGCCGTGCGTTGAGAATGCTGCAGAAAGAGTCATGTCTGGTGATGATTAGATCCAGTTGGTACTAATATGAAGATCACAGATGTCTGTGGAATTCTGTGCAGCATGATTTGGTCTCGGATGATACCAGGCGCACACAGTTTAATGTAGAAGCAAAGCACAAGAAGGTCGCTCTCTGTTTTTACTGATCTTTCCCGGGTAGTGATGTGCAAAACAGGATGGCCACATTTCATCAGCACCCACTGGTGAAGCATGGCTCCATCATTCAATACGATTACGAGTCTTTGGACGACTCTGCATTCCTATCTATCACGATACCACCATCTTATCAAGCATCTTCTGATATCAGACTTGAAAACAGCTTTCACCACCTTTTGAGGCAGTTGGAATGAATCACCTTACCATCTTATTTTTTTAAGACCCAAGTTATCCTTTATTTCTGTTATGTAACTTGTTTCCATCTATTCTCCTGTTGAGAAACATGAAATATTGGTTCAAAATCTCTGCTATTTCTTCACTCCCCATAATTTCCCTTGTCTGCTTCTAAGGGACCAACTTTCAGTTTAATCATTCCCTTCTTTATACACCTGTAAAAGCGCTTACAATTTATTTTCATATTCGAGCATGTTACATGTAAATTCAATCTATGTTTCATTTGGCAAGATAGGAAAGCTCATAAACAGAGAGGATTTGCAGAATGAAGCAAAGCGTTACCGTGAATTAAGAATTTATTGCTACTGAGATGACTTAATATCATATGGTAATTAATATGAAGCTCTACATGTAAAGGTTTATACATAACTATATGCCAGGATAAAGATACCTAAGAAATATTTTCTGATAAACAACTCATTTTGTAGTCATCATCAGCTGTAAACTTTTATGTTACCATTAAGCAGGACAGTAATTTGTCCTTTATGAACAATGCTACAGGTTGCACATACCTTCACTGTCCTTAAACTTCTTGATCGCCACAATTTCATTGGTTTCCTACAACAAATCAAAATACAAATGATCAAAAATAAAATCCCAAGATGATCATTTTAACACATTAACATTAAGAGTTTAATTGATATCTGAATGCAGAGGTTGAAGTTGTCAAAAAAGAATTAAGCTACTTTCAATAAACAATGAAAATGATCTACCAGTTAACTCATGAGCAAGCACAAACTAATGCAAAAACAAGCTAAAGCATGTTTTAAGCTTTGGCTTTGTCAGTTATGGCACAGCAACCAGATATGTTTGGTGGCATATTTGCATCAGAGTCAAAAGGTTGAGGGTTCAAAACTCACTCTAATGAGTGCAATTAGCCTGCAGGCCGGACTTCAAAAAACAAACAAAGCTTGCCTGGTCGGTTTTTTTTCTTTTTAACCCAAGCTGACAAAAAGTCCTACAATCATTTCCAGCTCAAAATTGATAAAAGAATAAATGAAAAATCAGCAACAGTTCAGTGTTATGAAGCTGCACTTAAATAAGAAGTTATATTTTCGATGTATATTAATACATTGTACTGACATATCAATATTTTAATTGCAAAATTGCAAAACATGTTAGAGTGCAATAACAACATCTGATGAACATATGTAGTGAGCTGCCCACTTATTTTCAAAAGTCAATTGGATATTCAACGAGAGAGAAAAAATAACGCAAGGCTGGGGAAAAAGGGGAATGGGATTGACTGAGCAGCTCTTAGAGAGGCAGTACAAACACAAAAGGCCAAATGACTGATCTGTACTGCTATGAAAATTCTAAGATTCTGTTTGAATTGAGCCAATTTTTAATCCTTCTGAAGTGTTGCTTGCCCGTGGGTCAAAGAAACAAAAAGTGGCTTCTTGGCATGACAATATTGGAGGAGAAACCTATATTTTGTTGCCTTTCACCCTCAGTCCAGGACTGAGTAAGCTGCTGAATCAGAATAAAAGGAGATTGTGAGCTCAATACTGATTCAAACTGCCTAAAATGACAACTGCTCCATCTAGCATTACCACTCATGTCCATAAAAAGTTAAAAATAAAATTCAGTCTATCAGTATCAGATCTACGCTTGGGACACTCATGTCTATATGACTTAAACAACAAATCACCTTTTCTGGACTGATTAAGAACATCAGCTTTAACTCTTCTGACACAAAGTCAGTCAAATTTTGATTAAACAACTAGGCTTCATGGGTCAAAATCAGAAGGAAAATTGTAGACGAAGGAGGAGGTACGGTTTACAAGAAAACGTCGACTACTTTAGATATAGTAGGAACTGCAGATGCTGGAGAATCCGAGACAACAAGGTGCAAGGCTGGATGAACACAGCAGGCCAAGCAGCATCGACTACTTTAGATGCTTGTTTAATGTTTTGGAATATGAATAGAACATTACATAAGATTAAAAAGAGTCAAAAACAAAACGTTCAGATGACCAACAATATCTTTAGGAACTGGTAATAGCAGCAGATGCTAAAATTCCCAAAAGCAACTTTAACTTTCCCCAACCTCTCACAGCCTGCATCTACTTTTTTTTCCAAAATTCACAAACTGCACTGCTCTGGAAAATCATTCATTTCAGTCTTTTCCTGAGCACTCAATCTATTTTGTTTGATCTTCACTCTATTTTTCCTCCCTTGATCAGTCTCTCCTAATGTATATTCATGATTCTTCTGAACCTCAGCCATTTGAACAGATTCGGGATCCTGGCCTTGACCACCACCTCTTCACCAGGATAGTTTGAGGACTATCCACTTACTTCTTGAATGGAGACCTCACCGGTCCCCATCGATTACGAGCTTCCTCCAACTGACTGAGCTTATTATTCTTTTATTGAACAATTTCTCATTTAACTTGTCTCACTTCCTTCAAATAAAACATGCGACTGTGAATACCCAAATATGTACAATTTATGGTCGTCTTTTTGTGGGTTAAATGGAATATAGCTTCCTGTACTTCTCGGTAGGAGGGGGACTACCACGACTCTATTTCTAATCAATTCATTATGGTATCGGTTCAGTTTCCTGCTTTCTGAAAATGTAAATCCAAAATGCTGAACTGCCTCCTGTCACAACATAATAATTGTGAAAACTGAGAAAGTTACTCAGTCTGGCTTCCAATTTCCATGGTTCTTTCAGTTTCCCAATTCATCTTTGGCTCATGCTTTCCTTGATATTTTGTCCTCCATTTCCAGGGACAGGTTATCTACTAATATTCATTACAAGCCCACTGACTCCCACAGATACCTCAACTGTAGTCCTCCACAACCAGCTTTCGACAAAGACTCTGCTCCATTCCTTCAGGTTCTCCGTCCCCGTTGTATTCATTTCAACGATGCCTCCGTCCACAGTCAGGCTTTTGAGGTGTCTCAACCGACAATACCTCCCACAGTGCTTTTCAGGGCTATCAAATGTGTTGGATTAATCTCACAGACTTTTGTCCTTTCCCTTTCCTCCCACACAGCTCAGAATCACGACAAGGTTCCCCTTGTCCTCAATTTCAGCACACCAACCTCTATATTTGAAGGACCACACTCTGCTATCTCCAGTATAATGTCATCACCAAACACATTTTCCTCTCCCCTACCAATGTTCCAAATGGACCAATCCATTCATGACACCCCAATCCAATCCTCACTCCTTCCCACAGTAGCTTCCTACACAATGCAACACTTGTTCCTGTTGCAGGTTGCAGGAACAGCAACTCATATTCCGCTTGGGAACCCTGCAGCCCAATGGTATCAATGTGGATTTCACAAGCTTCAAAATCTCCCCTCCCCCTACCGCATCCCAAAACCAGCCCAGCTCATCCCCGCCACCCTAACCTGTCCTTCCTCCCACTTATCCCCTCCTCCCATCTCAAGCCCCACCCCCATCTCCTACCTACTAACCTCATCCCGCCCCCTTGACCTGTCCGTCCTCCCTGGACTGACCTATTTCCTCCCTACCTCCCCACCTATACTCACCTTTACTGGCTCCATCCCCGCCTCTTTGACCTGTCTGTCTCCTCTCCACCTATCTTCTCCTCTATCCATCCTATCCACCTCCCCCTCTCTCCCTATTTATTTCAGAACCCCCTTCCCCTCCCCCATTTCTGAAGAAGGGTCTCGGCCCGAAACGTCAGCCTTCCTGCTCCTCTGATGCTGCTTGGCCTGCAGTGTTCATCCAGCTCTACACCTTGTTATCTCACTTGTTCCTGTTGTCTCCTTTTTCCTCACTCTCCAAAGTTCCGTCCCAGATGCTAGTTCCACGTTAAGAATAATTTACTTTTACTCCTGCCAATTTATCCTCCTATATTTGCTAATCACAACATTGTCTCCTCCATACTGGGGAGACCAAATGTAGACTGGGTGGCTATCTTGCAGAACATCTCTCAACAGTTTGCTCGCATAATCTCAACCTTTTAGTCACTTATCAGTTTAATACACCATCTTGCTTTCATGCTCACACTTCTGTCCAAGGCCTGCTGTAGTGTTCCAGTGAAACCAAATGCAAGTTAGACAAACAGCACCTTAACTTTCCAATTACACAGGTTACAGTCTTCTGGACTCAATAATAACTCAGACCATGAACTCTGTCCTCCATTTTGAATTATCTTCCCCAAATCTATCTTAATTTCATGTTTTTGCTTACAATCAGAACTGGCATTTATTCTGTTAAGACCTGTTCTGGACCAATTTATTTTCTCCTCTCTACAACCATTACCACTCCCCTTGCCTTACGTTCTATGGCACCTGTGATTTCTAATTTTTGCTCCAAAACCTTGAACTTTTCCACAATAACTGGCTCTGCACGAAACAAGCAAAAACTGTCATTATTTTAATTATTCATAAGCACAGGAAAAAATAAAATCACGATAAATCTTCATCACATTATAATTGTGCAAGTTGATTCTGTTCATTCTTGACAAATGATTCTACTATTTTACACTTCACAAAATAACACATGAATTGATTGTCAATATCACCTGCTGGTAATCAATAATTGATTGCGCTTTTACAAATTAAACCGTGACATTCGGATAATACCCCACAGAACTAATAATCCACTGCACGTTTAGATGGTTAGTAAAAGTAAACACTGACACTGTTTCTAATAATTAGAGTTGACCAATTTTTTGTATTGGTCATACTTGCAGTGCTATCCCAGTATGTCATTATGAGACACGTGACATCAAATACTACAGCAGACGGTCAACTGTAAAATTCAGACAGCAAATTTCATTGTTTTTTTTAAGGAAGCAATGATTTCAAATTCTCTAATAACGATTCAGTGCTAGAATTTTGATTTTACTCCCGGTTGTATTTTTAAAGGTGCTTGGAATATATTTTAAAGTTTGACGTACATTTAACTTGGACATCAACACCAAGAAAGTAGAAGAATTTTATACATTTGTCCAAACGAACACAAATGGACTAGCATTTTAATCCAGTCTCACATCAGTTGTCGCTCCTGCTATGGTCCGAATCGTCAATTTGAATTAAACACTTGCCAGTAATTTTTGAATGAGGATGTCGGTATGCACATCACTGTGACCAACTGTAGGATCACAGTGATGTAAACCCGCACAGAAGCTGCACTCATTCTCTGTTCTATATTCTGTCTCAATTTTGGTGTGAAATAGAGATTTAGTCCTGATCATTGTGGAATTAATGCCATAGTTTACATAACACAATTGGCAGAGATTTACTGAGGTGTCAGATATATTAAAATTAACATTATGTCCAAGTCTTTAATTGATGGAACGATAAGCAATACATACGACATGCCCAAAACATTACCCTATTTTATTGGCTGACTCAAAATGTTAACTCGCCTGCCGACCTGTTCAACATCTTTCACACTTTTTTCTTTCTGTATTTTCCAATTTGTTCACTACCAATTAAAAAAAAACAGATTTTGAAATATATAGTCAATCTATTTCAGCAGATGCTGTTTTCTGATATTTTTCCTTCATACTATGGTTACCAAAAGTGCTGCGCACTACAAGCGCTCATGTATTTTCAGAAATCACACAG